TGCAGGCATCATCCTGGTATAACCAATCAAAGTCCAGTGATATACCAGTACGTTGCTGGTCCTTGTTGGGTGTATATGCTATGTTCTTTTTTTTTTATGCAGCCTGTGGGCTGAATGAAAAAAAGAGAAGACATCTCTGCCAGAAAAAGTGTGTTGGTATGCCCACCATTAAAATAAAACAGTAACTCAATAAAACAACCTTTTTCTTGAAATATATGCCAAAAAATATTATTAAATGTATATGCCGAAACATAGGGGCTATATGCTATGTTCTTTTTTTTTTATGCAGCCTCTGGTCTGAATGAAAAAAAGAGAAAAAATCTCTGCCAGAAATGATGTGGTATGTCCACCATTAGAATATACCTCCCTGCATCCACCCACTTCTAATGGTGGGCACACATGAAATGTGCCGGAAAATATTATAAAATATTAATGCCGAAGCATAGGGCCATCAACCAACTGGCCACCCAAGACCCCCATGCTTTGGCACATATGCTCTTTTTTTAACTGCGGTTGAAAAATCTCATCCAACAGAGCTGCCCACACTGACTTATGTACATTCTGAGAGCAAGTTCCTGTTGCTGTCAGAATAAACAGGTCGGTGCTGCAGCTGAATGACATTCCTGCAAAGAAAACAGCAATGGTTAACAATAAAACAGTAAAATTGTAACAGTAGCAACAACCACAATAACTATTTTTGCTTTTTAACTTTTATTATTTATTTATTTTTTTTAACTTTAACTGTTTAAAACAGATTGTAGGGTCTCTCAAAATGCGATAGACAGTTTCCTGACTACCTAACATCTTTTGAGACCCTGTGTAAATATGTGCCCTGAACTGTGCCGTGCTGTACCCTATACTAATAGAGTAGAGTATGGTAGTGACGGAAGCAGTCCTTGAAGCAGAGACCAATTTGGCCAGGACACGGAGAACAAAAAAAGGGGGTGTCGTGTCTTATTCCGTGTCTCCTACAGACACATCTTCTTTTGGGTGACCTTTGGGTTGGAGGACATCTGGAAAATGCCTCTCATGCAGCCGGCTAACTGCATCATGGATTTGAGGATTGGGCCACAGCACCTTCTGGATACAAAAGGGACGTGATGATCTCTTCCTGGAATTTTAGGAAGGATCCACTTCGTCCAATTGCTTTGAAAATTACAAAAGCGTTATATAAAGCCAATTGAAATAAGTAAATAGACACCTTTTTGTACCAGTGTCGAGCTTTCCAGGAAATTAGGTACGGATTCACCATTTGGTTGTTGAAGTTCACTGCTCCCATGTTAAAGTTATAGTCGTGGACACAGAGGGGTTTCTCAACAATGCCAGATAACGTGTTAATTTGGACTGTTGCGTCTGCGTGAATGGAAGACAGCACAAAAACATCCCGTTTGTCCTTCCACTTCAATGCGAGCAATTCACCATTCCTCCAGCAGGCTTTCTCCCCCTTTCTAAGTCGGGTATTTACAAGCCATTGGGGAAAGCCCCGGCGATTAGGTCGCAAGGTGCCACATGAGCCAATTCCAAGATTGTACAAATGTCTAAATAGTGGCAAGCTTGTACACAAATTGTCCACGTATAAGTGGTACCCCATACGGAACAAACACGACACCAAGTCCCAAACTATCTTGCCACTGCTCCCCATGTAGTCTGGGCAGTCGTGGGGCTGTACTTCACTGTCTCTTCCCTCATAAACCCTAAATTTGTATGTATAGCCTGTGGCCCTCTCAGAGAGCTTATACAATTTGACCCCATATCCGGCACGCTTGCTGGGGATGTACTGTTTGAATGCAAGGTGACCAGTAAAGTGAATGAGGGACTCATCCACGCAGATGTTTTGCTGGGGTGTATACACATCTGCAAATTTCTCAGTGAGGAGGTTTATGAGGGGCTAAGTTTTGTAGAGCCTATCATGTTCAGGGCCACCCCGAGGATGACAGAGTGTGTTATCACTGAAATGCATGAAGCACATTATTGTCTCATATCTATGCCTGGCCATGGCAGCAGAACACGGGCATATGATGAATCGGGTCTGTGGACCAATACAACCGCAACTCATTCTTTTTTGTAAAGCCATGTTGAGGGTTAGGCCAAAAAAAGTTTTAAATTCGGAAACTGTAATGGGTTTCCATGTGTATGGTCTGGCATAGTTTGAATTTGGGTTTGCGGCGATATATTGTTGAGCAAATTGCTTTGGCCCACAATCAAATTGTACAAATCTTCTGTGAAAAACAGCTCCAAAAAATCAAAGGGAGTAGTTAAATTTGCTGTTTCCACCTGAATTCCAGGTTGGGCAGTGAATGGGGAAGTAAGGGTGCTGCAGAATCTGTGTGCTGCCACTCAGGATTTGCAAGCACGTCCGGAAGGACACTACTTGTGCTCGCCACCACCGCACCAGCTTGTACTTCACTTATAGGACTCGCCACATCACCAAGTGATATTGCAGTGCTGGTATAAAAAATACCAGGATATACTAGGCCGCTGGTGCTTGCCAGTTCACCAAAAGTTAGTGTGGCACTAGTACTGGCACTCTGCTGCATATGAGACAAGTCATGCGATCCTAGCACTTCAGCTTCACGGGGTTGGGTACACATGATCTTGACAGGGACCTCTTCTCCATCGTCCGAGCTACCTGTCAGGGTGTCCGCTGCTGTCTAGAGGTTCGTATTCTGAGGCTGATTGTGTCAGGGTGTCTTCCCCTTCACTCTTACCTGACATGCTCAGAATCCTGTAGGCCTCTTCACTAGTGTACCTTTCGTTGGACATTTTGGACTCTAAATTTACAGGTACCTAGTGCAACTCATGGGAAAAGAGCACCTGGCTGTCAGGAGGGATGCTAACTGATCCTGACGTTATCTGACATCACTATTGGCACTAATACAGTGATCAGTGAAAAATACTGTACACTGACACTGTACTAATGGCACTGGCAGGGTGGCAGGGGGAAAATGGTTCCAAGGAGAGAAGAACCAGCTAGATCCTATGCCTGTATTTACAAATACAGGCACAGCTCTGCATCTCCATTCGCTGTAGGAGATTGGCCGGCCAAAATCACTGGCCAAGACCTGCTGACATACACCTCCTACACGAATGACAGTGGGGGTCAGCGGGGGGGCTCTAAACCCGGAAGAGCAAAGCGACATATGGGTATGTCGCTTTGCCTGCAGTACATTGCGGGCAAGCAGTCCGGAAGCGGTTAAAATAAAGTATTTTGTGTTTTCGTACACTTTTACAACACTGTAGTTTTGTGAACGTGTATTGAGAAAAGAGGCTGCAAAGCAAAACCCTTGTGTGGCTCTTCAAAGCAGGAAGTAGTGACAGATTACATATTGAGCAAATGCATATGTTCCTATATATAGTATAATTACATAACTATACACAAATTTATTTAATTAGCTTGCACTGATATTATTTATATCCATTTGATGTACAATCCCAATTCCAATAAAGTTTGGGACGTTGTGTAAAATCTACATAAAAATAGAATGCAATGATTTGAAAAATCTTATAAATCCATATTTTATTCACAATAGAAAAGATATAAAATTTTTAAACTGAGAAAATGTGCCATTTTAAGAAATAAATATTGAATTCAAAAAAAGTTGGGACAGGGCAACAAAAAGCTGGAAAACTAAGTGTACTAACAAGGAAGAACATTTTTCATCTAATTAGGTTAGATGGCAACCGGTTAGTAACATGATGGGACATAAAAAAAAGCGCATCTTAGAGAGACAGTATCTCAGAAGTAAAGATGGCCAGAGATTCACCAATCTGTGAAAAGCTGCAAGCAATTTCAGACTAATGTTCCTCACCATAAAATTGAAAATGGTCAGTTGAAAAGTGGAAACTGTTTTGAGGTCAGACGAAACAAAATTTGTCATTTTTGGCAACCATAAGCACCGCGTCCTCTGGACTAAAGAGGCAAGGAACTTTCTAGCTTGTTAGTGCTCAGTACAAAAGCCAGAATCTCGGTATGGGGGTGCACTGGCGAGAACGGAATGGGCAGCTTGCACATTTTAGAGTAGCATTTTCTCCCATCCAGACAATGTCTTTTTCAGGGAAGGCCTTGCGTATTTCTGCAGAATAATGCTAAACTACATACTGCATCTATGACAGCAGCATGGCTTCATAGTAGCTTGCCTGCAGTCCAGACCTTTCACTGACTGAAAAATATTTGGTGCATGTTGAAACCAAAAAATACAACAAAGACTACTTCTTGAGCAGTTAGAATCCTATATCAGGCAAGAATAGGACAATATTCCTCTCCCAAACCTCCAGCAACCGGTCTCCTCAGTTCCCAGACATTTACAGAGTGTTGGTAAAAGAAAAAGGGATGATACACCGTGGTAAACATGTCCTTGTCCCAACTTTGAGATGTGTTGTTGCTATCAATTTCACAATTATCTTATTTTTTTTCATTTAAAACATTTGACGTTTTCTATTTTCTATTGTGAATAATATATGGGTTTATGAGATTTGCAAATCCATGCATTCTGGTTTTTTGTAGATTTTACACAGCATCCACATTTTTTGGAATTGGGGTTGTTTATACAAGTATATATGCACACTATTAGTCAAATGTTTTCTACAGTGTGCTGAAAGCCCTAATAATCAGACAGCCACAGGAAGTGCTAAATATGAAAGCACCCAAAGATTTTGGAGCTCATGTACATTAGATTAGTACCTGTATTTTACCATTGAGGCTAGTTTCAACATTAGCATAAGTGATTTACTTTAATTAGCACCCTTTGCTTACACTAGAGTCTGGTATCAATACATGACTCATCATATATAATGATAGGTTATAGTTAAACAAGATGGGGTTCCCACTGATGTTTTACTTTTGAAAAACAGTGCAACAGAAAGGTGTCAGAACCATAAGATCAAATACTAAAATTCCCTAGAAAACCCCCTCTAAGTGTCAGAATTCAGTTTCATGACAATAGAGATAAGTCTTCTATGGCTTCTCACACATGGGCTTTATTTTTACTAACTGTGCATACCTTCAGTGTGTCAAAATAATGGAGAGTCTCTACTTCATAAAGCAATGGATCAAGAGCTCTCATCAGTAGAATTATAGTTAGAAGGCACCCTGAAAAGAATACAGAAAGGGGAAGGAAAAAGAAGGTACATGAGATAGAGTGCAGACACAGCTTCATTTTATGAAACAAATGTTATCTTCTGAAAAGAAATCTGATTATATAATCTGATATGTACAGTACATTATGAATTTATTCACCCATCACAAGACACACATCTGGACTGATCGCCTTATAACATGCTACTTATTTGGCTGCCTTGCTGAGTGCTGTCTGAGTAACAGATCTTAAACACCTATAAAGATAAGGATATCTGCTTTTAGTCTGGTTTTCCTCATCTGTATATTTGTTCAAAGTCAGTGCCTTGAAACACTGAAGCAAGATGGTCAACAACACAGCCAGGCACCTAACATTTTCAGAAGAAAAGGAGAACAATGGCAGCTTTGTTTTTTCATGGCAGTTTTCCTTTCATTTTTGTCAGTCTCATTATTAGATGATCTGAAGTCATATAAAATCAATACCATTCACATATACCATGGCATAGACTACATTTATATTGTCATAAAGTACACTGTTTAATTGTATTTTAATAATAATGGCGTCTGTTATTATGCATACTCATTTTGTAATACTTAATTTGTGAATATTTAGTACATATTAGTAAAACATACATATGTATCAATAGTCATATGTGTTTTCATCTATTCCAGCATTCCATTATCCCACACACACACTAGATGCATTGACTGAAGCTAGAACACGCACACTATAATTATCTGCCTTCAACAGTTCTACCAACTTCTTTCCTACAGACTAAAACATTCATTTCATTTAATAAAGATTTATGGATGCACTCAAAAAATAAAATGTGTTCAGTCTCATTGGAATTAATATCTTCCATCAGGGTCAAAGGTGCAGTTGCAAGATCCAGGTAAGCCAGGAATTTATTGTTTAACTAGTCTAAGAATATATGCAAGACAGGAGGGGTAATACCAAGAATGCATCTATGCAGTCATTGTAGAACACATCTTCCACATTCGCTATTAAGATATGCAGATTGATGTATGTTAGCTGTGACTGTCAGGAACAGCCCACATGAATGACCAATTATCTGTAGATTAGGTCTAATAGGCTTTTGTTTGTTAAGACACATTGATTGTATGGGTACCATAAAATATTCCCCCTGTCCTTTTGCAGTCATTTCTGGAACAATAACCAGACTCTTTGCTTTGCTAAAATGAACAAGAAATACAGTAAAAAATGCTACAATTTGCTGTATATGTAAGATATACAAAAAGCTTACATAATCTTGCAACAGAGAACGTCTTCCCAATAGAAGTGATTGAAAATATAAGCAACTTTTATATGCATCGACGTGTGTTTTCAGATACACTGGGGTGCATTTTTTTAACTTGATTTGGAATATACAGATAAGGGATCAATGCGGGTAAAATGCAGCATGCAGGATATTTCCAAAATGCCATGCAAAGCACTGTTCCAGGGAGAAGAGCACTAATCATGCAAATGTTAAGCTGGGTACACATGTACCAAAATATGGCCAGTTTAGCAGGAACCAAACAAATTTTGATTGTTAGACTGGCTTCTGCTGAAAGGTCCTGCTGGAAAACAACATTCAATGAGCCGCTGAAGCCAATGGCTGCTGTGCTGATCAGTGTATTCTGATGTGGAGGGGGTAATTCCTGCTCTCAGAATACAGAAGCGTAGTGGGGGAAATTCCTGCATCCACATACCATGAGTGTATGAAGGAATCTGGTTAAATGAAAAGAAATACTCTTGTACCCAGCTTTACAGTGCAGCGATCACAAACACAGCAAACTGCATGAAAGTGTATCTGGTGCGAATAAGCTCCAATAGTGATTTTTGGGGTCTTATGTTAGCTCTGCATGGATGAATGATAAACTGCATGTCACATATGCAAAACATAATTCAAATTTTGAGATGGGATCTTTATGGTTCACACCATTCCACTCTCACAAACAATTACATATTCTGCGATTTCTAGTGGCAGGAATTTGCAGATTCCTGCAGCTGAATTTACAGATGTGCGCACATTTGTGACTGTGTGCACAGCCAAAGATTACATTGTGTGTGTCCAAGCCACAGCAGGAAATCCAGGCTGTCCAAATCGTCACAAATAGCTGTGACCTCCAATAGCCTGTCATTGCATTATACAGGTTCAGTGGTACCAGCTATTTGCACACATCTGTCAATTCCAGCCAGAGGAACCTGCAGATTCCTGTCGCTGAAAATCGCAGGGTGTGTAATAGCCCAAGCGAATGAAGCCAAATTCAGTTTTCACTTTGTTATTTAGCAAAGTTGTAGCTTCCATTTCGTCAGTTAGGTCCAGAGTTGTAGCTTTATGTGCCTATTTTTCTTATATGAGCATCATCTCAAACTTTGTGTCGAGAAACAGAACCAGCATGAAATACACTATGCAACGGTTAACTTTGCTATTTTCACAATATTTAGCATGATAAGAACAACATGTTTCATTAGTTCCTTCTTGTTCTGAGAAACGTAGAATACACAAGAGGGTAGTTTAGCAATTTCAGTATTGTTTACTAGTTTCCAGTTAACACAAGATCAAAAAGGGTAGAGAAAATGAATGGAAACCATCTCAATAGAACACAAAATGTCGCTTATCATCAACTGGCAAGTTCAAAGCCAGAGTGAATTGACTCTACATTTTTATAGGAAACTGTATCTCTCTAAAACACAACTCTATCCGTACATTGTATTGGAGATCAGGCACATCCACAAGTTCTTTATATATGCAAAATAACCTGTGTAAAGTTCTATTGAAATCTTATCTATTTCTGTATTGACATTTAAACGGCACACTATACTTACCACAGTGGTCACAGAGAATATGCAGCAATAAGATGGCAGCATTTTCCATTCTCAGAGTCATGGATGGCACTGTCATCTGCTTAGGCAACTGCTGAAGCACAGCAAGAAGACCAACTACTCTGTATATGGTGGGTGTCTTATAGAGACTGGAACTCACTGAAAGGCTTCTCATAGCCAGGACTAGATTATTCCCAGGGCTGTGTTGTTTAAAGCGTATCTCTGGTCAAAATCTAAAATCATATATTCATTTCCACATTATATTTCAGTTATTTCTACCATGGTGTTGGAAGGATTTCATGCAGAGAGAATTCATTAAGGTAAAAAAACCTTTTGTGTTTAGAGCCCCTTTAACTAATAATTAAAACATTGGACTTTGAACGGTACAAGGTTATTTTTCATATTTAGTCATCAAGTGGAAAGTCCCTTTGCCTTGTAAATGACCTTTTTGAATGTTTTTCTGCTAAATCAGAGTGTTGACAAAGCAGAATAATGGCAAGTCGGCTTTGTTCTCTTTTGGTGAAAGTGGTCTTTATATACTGTAGCAATGTTCTATTAGTGAGATCAATTAGAGTTCATTACTTATTAGTAAGTATAAAAAAGTAATCAAGCACACTATTTTTCTAGCACATCGACTATTTGTTCTGTACTCGCAGCATGTTTAAAGGGATAAAACATGGAGAAAAGTGCATGTATTCCAGAGGTGTAGTAAGTAAATTTTTTTCATGACACACACTTTATTTCCAGAACCAAGTATCTTAGATTAGAACCAGGAAGAAAGAGCAATACATTAATCTTCCCGGGGGGGGGGGGGTTGGTGTCAGCATGTCATAGCCATTGGGGGAGGAGCTCCCAGCACAGGCAAAAAGATGACCATGTTGGAAAGGATGTTCCTAGCATGATCAGTCTAAAATAGGAAAGCAGGGGCACTGGCAGGATCTCCAGGTATTTGACACAAACATAGCAATACAAAGAGAACAGGATACTTTCTAACACAAGCACATGGTACAACAGATACAGTGCCTTGAAAAAATAACCATACCCCTTGAAATTTTCCACATTGTCATGTTACAATTAAAAACTTAAATGTAGTTTATTGGGATTTTATGTGATAGACCAGCACAAAGTGGCACAACATAATATGTGCTGCTTCGTGTTGGTCTATCACCTAAAATCCCCAAAAACTAAATTTCCATTTTTGATTGCAACATCACAAAATGTGGAAAATTTCAAGGGGGTATGAATACTTTTTCAAGGCACTGTACATATCAGGAATATGAAATGCTGGGGCAATATAATCTGCAAAGCGTATTTCCACTTTTGCAGTCAGTTTTGGAAAACCCCACTATATGTTTATTATGTATTCCCATTCACATAGCATACCTAAGAGTATATTTGGAGCAGGCCTTGGGCAGACTGCAGATTACCCTGAACAATATGAAATGAGAAGAATCAATCTGTTCTGTCCCACAAAGGTATTTATTTCTGTGATGCATTGAATTATATCAGGTTACTATTGTTTGAAATATGCTGACATGTAGTTGTGGTTTTTGGGCCATTACAACTTGTTTTTTCAGTCCTTGCTAGACCTTCTGTGTTTCTTCTATGTTCCCTCAAACAGTGTTAGTATTTCACAGAGACAGAGCTTAGGAAAGTCATTATCTTCTTATGCTTCAAAAGATTGGAAAACTTACTCTGAACTGCAGCTACCTGAAACAAAAAACTGTGTTGTATTAAAGAGTTAAGCTGACTGTGGATGGAGCCAAGTCGGCAAATGACCATACTGTCCAGACAGACTAGGTCTAAGGAGGTATATCAATGCATAAAGCAGTATTTGAAACAGAACACAGTCTATCCCCACAAAGAGAAATACACTGAGATTTCACCTCAGGTAAGTATAATTTGGGGAAAAAAACCCAAACTTCTCTTTTAACATAGAACAGACTGGGGGAGATTTACTAACATTAGGGAATGCAAAATCTGGTGCAGCTCTGCATAGAATCGGCATCCAGGTTTTATTGTAAAAGCTTAATTGAACAAGCTGAAGTTAAAAGTTGATTGGCTATCATGCACAGCTGCACCAGATTCTGGGTGCACTAGTTATATTAAGTCTCCCCCACTGAGTTTACAACTGATAATGAGATCTGCAAGTACAATACAGGTAGGGTTAATTCTAGTAAACACTACTTTCACAGCCCTGAAGAGAAAAGTTTTTTTTTCAGTTTATGCTATGTGAGTGAAAACATGTAACAAATGTAAAATTGGTTCTATCCTAATTTGGCTGTAAAATTGGAAATACACGTGAAAGCACTTCTTCATGGACAGTGACATCTGCTGGTTATTAAAGGAAGCCCATATTGAGAAAAATGTGACGGCTGCCATTCATTACTGATCCATTTCTGGAAATGTCCCAAAAGTGTCTCCATCTTCATCCTGTCTGGAAAAAGCTAGCAGCTCAGGAATGTTAGACAAAAAGGTCAGAACACCTGATCTGCATACTTGTTCTAATTCACCGTCTCAGAAAATACTGAAGCCATTAGGTCAGCAGGAAAGTCAAAGGCCATGGCAGTCTACATATGTCTGTCATACAGATTTCCTTTAAAGTATACTTCTTCAATAAAACTCATTCAATTATTTTTTAAATTTCAATGCTTTATTTATTAAAAGTTCTCTAAAAAAAACAAAGCAAAACAAAAAAACAACACACAGGAACATTTCCAATATGTCTTCACACAACAGGCTAGCTTAGAACAAATGGGCTAATTTGAAGTTGAGATGTTTATTGATGCCAGGAAGCAATTGCCTCATGGTAATTAGCTGTCTATTATAGAAGAATGGCATTTCATCTTGTAAAATTAATTGGAGCATTTGTAATAATCATCTACTTTACAAATAGGGTTCATTTGCCTTGAATATAAATACCTAACAGTTTTTTGCCACCCAAAGTGTCACCTACACTTTAAATGGACCTTGTCCTAAAATGGAAAAGTAAGGTCCAGCCAACCTAATCCATGTGGTATAGTGATCTCCCAAATGCCATATACACTGCTAAAAAAAATGAAAGTAACACTTTTTAATCAGTGTAAAGCATCAAGTCAATTAAAATTCTGGGATATTGATATGGTCAGTTAAGTAGCAGAGGGGGTTGTTAATCAGTTTCAGGTGTTTAGGTGTTAATGAAATTAACAACAGGTGCACTAGATGGGCAACAGTGAGATGACCCTAAAAACAAGAATGGTTTTACAGGTGGAGGCCACTGCCATTTTTTTCCCTACTCATCTATTATAACTGTTTAACTAGTTTTGCCTTTGGCTAGGGTCAGTGTCACTACTGGTAGCATGAGGCGATACCTGAACCCTACAGAGGTTGCACAGGCAGTCCAACTCCTCCAGGATGGCACATCAATACGTGCCATTGCCAGAAGGTTTGCTGTGTCTCCCAGCACAGTCTCAAGAGCATGGAGGAGATTCCAGGAGACAGGCAGTTACTCTAGGAGAGCTGGACAGGGCTGTAGAAGGTCCTTAGCCCATCAGTAGGACTGGTAGCTGCTCCTTTGTGCAAGGAGCAACAGGATGAGCACTGGCAGAGCCCTACAAAATGACCTCCAGCAGACTACTGGTGTGAATGTCTCTGACCAAACAATCAGAAACAGACTTCATGAGGGTGGCCTGAGGGCCTGATGACCTCTATTGGGCCCTGTGCTCGCTGCCTGACACCATAGAGCTCGATTGGCATTATCCACTGAACACCAGAATTGGCAGGTCCGCCACTGGCGCCCTGTGCTTTTCACAGATGAGAGCAGGATCACCCTGAGCACATGTGAGAGACGTGAAAGGGTCTGGAGAAGCCGTGGAGAATGTTATGCCACCTATAACATCGTCCAGCATGACCGTTTTGGTGGTGGGTCAGTGATGGCCTGGGGAGGCATATCCATGGAGGGACACACAAACCTCTACAGGCCAGACAATGGCACCCTGACTGCCATTAGGTATCGGGCTGAAATCCTTGGACTCATTGTCAGACCCTACGCTTGTGCAGTGGGTTCTTCCTGGTGCAAGACAAAGCCTGGCCTCATGTGGCGAGAGTATGCAGGCAGTTCCTGAAGGATGAAAGAATTGATAACATTGAATGGCCCCCAAGCTCGTCTGACCTAAATCCAATAGAAAACCTCTAGGATATCATGTTTCGATCCATCCAATGCCACCAGGTTGCACCTCAGACTATCCAGAAGCTCAGTGATGCCCTGGTTCAGATCTGGAAGGAAATACCCCAGGACACCATCCGTAGTCTCATTCGGAGCATGCCCCAACGTTTTGAGGCATGCATAAAAGCACGTGGGGGCCATAAAAACTACTGAGTATCATTCTGAGTTGCTGCAATGAAATTTCAGCAAAATGGACTAGCCTGCTGCATTATGTTTTCACTTTGATTTTCAGTCCTCTGTAGGTTGATAATTTTCATTTCCATCAAACAATGGGCCATCCTTACGTTCCTAACACATTACCCTGTCCATATCAGTATAGATATCCAGCATGATATTTTTCCCCATTGAGATCTGATGTGTTTTCAAAGTGTTCCTTTAATTTTTTTGAGCAGTGTATATTGGAGACAGGTTTTAATCACTATAAACTTGCTTTTTCAGGTAGCTCTAATGTTAGATCCAGGGATCCATTTGTTGAACATGGTGGAGAATACTGCTTTGCCAGAGAACACATATCTACCTATCACTCGGGTACTATTTCAGGCCCACAAGTTAATTGCTCAGATATGAATGTCCCCTCACCCATCAACCTTGGAGGAACTGAAAATCCAAATAAATCATACTTTGTCAAGACAGAAACTAGTTTGCCAACATAGGAATTGTCCTACAAAATCTGAAAAACATTTAAGACATGTGGTTGGTTTCTCCGGGCCTAACCTCGACCCCTCTCAGGGTAAATTCACACGATGTGCAGCGTTTGTGTGTGTATGTGATGTGCTGAATCGTGCACCACACTGCCCCCTACCACAGCCTGCAATGGAGACCTGCTGGAGCAGAGAATCACTCCGGCAGGTCTCCATTACAGTGTGAATTCAGCCTCATACTGCACATATTACTATCATAGATGGGAAAGGGGGGGCTGACTGGCACGCACTATAGTTGAGAGTGCCAGCCCATGGGGTGCTCCCACTGTTCGGCATCTTAATAAGTTATTTATGGCTAATTGAAATGCACAAATGATCCACAGGGCATGGTACTTTTTATTATATGCTCAGCTCATTTACATGTTATACATGGTTGTGACAGTGGTATATGTATGTAGCTATGAAACTTATGAAACGTTCTACTGTCATTCTTAATTTGTACAACAAAGATGTAAGCAACCATTGGAATATTCGTAATTTGAAGATGTCTGCACATAGACCAGATATTACTGTAACTGGGAATTATGGTTTAAGTGTTTGAATGTTTTGTTAAGGACAAAAAACACTAGTAAAACCAATAAAAATGGATATTAATTAAAAAAATTAAAATGTATATAAAATCCCATTTTAACAGCGAGAGAAAGAAGTCTTTCTAATTCAGCTTTCCTCAACCAAAAGACCATAAGTGTCATAAGAGTTCCAGACAAAGATTGCTCTGTCCTACATCCAGGGTCTCAGCCCTTCACACCATAAACATAACATCTTTTAAGTATATTTCATGTGCTTTGCACAACTGGGTGTGTAAAGTAAGTAAAATGTATCTTTTACTATATAATCATAAAAATTCCTTTGTATACTGAGTAACAAAAGGCATTTACTTCCTATCCATCATCAATGTACAGTAACAAAACTTACACTTGTTATCAGGTTCCAGTTCCTGGAGTTCCTTGCAGGATTGTAACTCTTGCTGCAGGACACTGCTCTTCCCTTCAGAGAGCTCCAAGCTAGAGAAAAATGGCAACACTGTTAAGATGGAGCCATCAAAGGTTTTGTTAACAGAAAAATAAACGGCCAATTGGTATGTCATTAAAGCATATGGTAAACTAACAATACATTTCTCTTGTTTTCTCACATTTGTCCTGTTAATTGTACCACTGAAATCATTTTATTACAGTTGTTTAACGATAGCAAAAATAAAAGTAGCAGTTCATCCAGCTGGAAATCTTGTGAGCTAAAACATTTGAATTCTCTGCCTTTGGACTTTTACCAGTTAACACTGTTCCCCTACTGGACTTCCCCATTATGGAGAAGAGAGGGAGGTTTTATGTAGTCTTAACACACACCCTGTCCTAGACTGACAATTCTGCTCAGTACGGTTGTCATCCTAGGACAGGAACTGGCAGGACTACCAGGTGAAAATAAAATAAAAAGTGAATAAAAGGAAAACTAATGCAGCTACTACATCTAGGGACAAAAAATGTAAATACTATTATTTTTTGTTCTTGGGTTTAGATATGCTTTAAGTTCTTAAAGCTAAACTTTAGCTTCACCAGAAAACAGAATGTGGAACTTTCGCAGAGAATCACTATCACAGTGAGTGTTATAGTTTATAAATGAGCAGCAGGGGATAGATACATGTTAGTATGCATTTCTGGGGACTGTTGCTTTGTACACCAAAGCCTCACATCTTTTGTCAGACCTTCCATGCTGCACAAAAATCTGAACTGGATCCTATCTTATATATGGTGTGTGTGTGTGTGTGTTAAACTACTTTTGCAGTAGTATTAGAACACAATATAGGATATGCACAAAAAAGCAGATAGACATTAGATCAGAAAAAAAATTACCTGAAAATGTTTTCTTCTGTTACAGAATCTCTAAACCATGTGACCCGTTTTCCTATATTAAAGCAAAAATATCAGTTTCCAATATGAAGGATGAATACATTTACAGATTCTACACTGATTACAAGATCTGATTGTTACCTGGATATGAGGTACACTCCTTCTTTGTTTCACCATCTTTCCAGATGACCTTGATGTTATGCTGACAATGGCCGCTTAAATGATCCTTGGGGACATCACAGACCTAAAAAGAATAAAAATGCAGATATCATCATGTCAAACTGCAAAACATATTCACACTGGTCCAGTGAACCAAGTTTACAGTATTCTGCTTTGCCTTAGTTGGCCATTTAAGACAGAATGGTAGATTTGTGACTTGACCAGGTGTAAGGAGGCTCTGTAGTAGTATTCAGGTAAGGTGCTCAGTTCATAGACATTAATGGAGAGACACACACAAAAGGATGCGGCTGACTTGATTACTAATCAAAATAAAAAAATCGGAAGTATTGGTGTCTCTTTACCTTTTTGAAAAGCCTTTCCTGCAGTTCTACACAGAATTTCCAAACTGTGCAAATCATACTTAAATTTATAATTAAATTTAAATTGTAAATAAAACTGTATTTTATCTTCCATGTTATTGTGACATACTGGAGCCTTTTTAACTCAGTGAACTTGATTAGGGTGATCGAGCCAAGAATTTTTTGCAGTTTCTCCTAGTATTAAGAATGCTACTGTAACGGAATCGGACCCAGTCTGCAGTTGGGTACTTCCGTTAGAATACCGCTTCCCCCGCCGAACACCGAACACCGACCACAGATTTGAAGTAAACCAGGAAATAGACTACTTTATTTTAACACAGATACAAGATATATACATTCAAGGGAACAATCCCCCTTCCCTGCATAATGACACAAGGCGGGGCAATCTACCTTTAGTAAACAGAGACACACCAACAGAAAGTCCCATCAGAGGGAGGCTGCTGAAAACACCCCCCACCAAGCCAATACACAAACACATACATCCCATAATAATTTGCTCCCAAGCAAGAGACACACAATAGAACAATGGGATGCAACCACATGGCATTAAACAATCCACAACCCCCACCTATCTCCTAAACATGTCTACACAATATTCGTACAGATCACCCTGTACCCCTAACAGGCACAGGGTGACTTACACTTAAGAGGGATATGGGGAGCTGAGACAGGGGTCTCCCCACCTCTCCAAAGTGAGGTGTGTTCCATGGGCTCCCCACCCAAAGTAACTCCCGTCACAGCTACAACTGCTTCAAATAAATGAATATCCATGGCCTTTGTATACCATATTGGACTGCAAAGCTGATGGTGGGCATCCATCTTGGAATATCCATTAAAGCTACTTGTATAACTATTTTTAGAATCATCTTCTAGAGAACTGTCCCACCTATGACCAAGTGAAGAGGCCAGAGCATTGGAAATATATAAAACATAAATGCTAGAAATACAGCAGAAATCAGGACTATGAGAAATATCAATAAAACACAAGAGACACACAGTTAATGACATAATCAGCAAACAATATAAATTAAAATTTTATTACCCAGACTAAACTTGGTTTTTGTTTGCCTTCAGGAGTTTTCCAGGTGACCATGACTGGTCTCTCATCAATAAACAGTATCAGATCACTCCCCACCTAAGAAATGTGGAACGAGAATATAGACATTTTATTATATAAATAACAAAAAATGTGAACTGAAATGTTAGTCTTCTTTAAAGGCACTGCACTGTAAATATAATTGGTTCACACATTTAAAACTGGGGTAAATCTGAAGGTAACAAGGATCCCACTCCACAACTGGATTTCCGACTATTCAAGACCCACAGTGAAAACGATCCACTATGACAGCAGTGCAATTCCTCTATAGCATTCCAGTTCATTACTTTATTAGTAGTGTGGACTACATAAACATTTATTTTATCAGTAAAGTTTGTGCAAAACACTATTGCTGCATGGATAAATCATTATGTAACCAGACTGCACTAGAACCCCTAAGAGACCACATGGCATGCTAGGAGTAAAGTAATTTTCTTCACCACAGTGAAAAAGTGGCA